GTTAGGATTCGGTATAAAATAGTGGGAAATATGTAGAAAACACTGTCCCTGTAAATTAAAACCATCACTAACACCAAAGATAGTATAGTAGTTTAGTATCTTTGCTAACACACTAAACTTTGTTTTGCGATAGGCAAGGACAAAGAAGGGAAGTAATCGTGTAAAAATAAAATATGTTCCCATATTTGAGAGTACTGTCCCCTGAAACATGTCTGAAGCCCGCCTCCTAAATGACCTGAATTATGATGATGAAGGCGTAAAATGACTTCCAGTAAGCTTGTCGTTCATGTAAAACACTCAAAGATTATGATATTTATATAGGGATAGTGCGTTATATAATTTCTATCATTATTGTTATCATTGTTGTTTTTATCTTTATTTTTGTTATAATTATTATTATTACTATAATATGATTATTATAAATATCGTTACGACTACTACTACTACTACTACTACTACTACTACTACTGCTACTACTACTACTACTACTACTACTACTACTACTACTACTACTACTACTCGTTATCACGAATATCAATGTAGTGGTAGTAGTAGCAGAATAGCTATCATTATTTCGATTTAACAATCTTATAATTTTTTAAACGGGAGTTCAATGAAAATGTACAAAGTTTATTATTGTTTTATGAACCGGAAACATGGAAGTTAACAAATCAGACAAGAAACAAATTACAGTCCTTCGTCAGTGGTTGTTTCAGGATGGTCATGGAAATTCCCCAGCAACACAACATCAGAAATATCTGTCACGGCGCGGTGGAATCAGGCGCTCGTCAATTTTTGGGTATGTGGGTATCACCTCAAAAACTGTTCGTTTGCCTTGCTTTAGTAGACAAAAATACTTACCTATCTTGCATAGAAGTTGAGATATTTGCGACTAAAGGAGGTGGAGATCCCCTGATTTCTGAAGTAGAATTAGCGAGAAAATGACGGCCAAACTTGGATGCCTTTCATGGCCTAAAAGTCCTTGGAAAATGTAAATGTACAATTGTTGTGCCTTTAATCGACTGTTTTCAGTAAAATCTACACAGAAATGTGTTTTTAGAAGGGTATTAAAGGTGTTGATTCAAAAAACAAAAATCTTTTAACAATGGCCCAGCGGCCACAAAAAAGGCTGTTTCTTAGATTTAGTAGTGTTAACGAGGTCTTGCATGCCCTCGTGACATCCACAATTAGAAACCACGTACACAGATACAAGAACGTCCACACACGTACATATCGGGAACGAACAGGTGCAGCTGACAGGACATCCAATAGAAAAAGTAAGCTGCAGTCAGTCAGTGAATTGGTAACTCCTGATTTACGTGAAGGCCATACTTATCTCCGGCGAGCTTTTAGAATATTATACTTAGCCCAGAAAGTAAAATTATAGAGGGGAGGGAAGAAAAACTGAGTCCATATTTTAACCAATTGTACTTACATTATGATAGTTTGTTCGATTTTTTTTTTGGATTTT